CAGTGAGAACTTTGAAGATGAAACGAGGCTGGGTCTTCCAACATGACAATGATCCAAAACACACCGCCCGGGCAACAAAGGAGTGGCTCCGTAAGAAGCAAAGCGTCAGGGTGGGCATGACCAAGATAACAAAAAAAGGCTCTAGAATCTGAAATGGAACTAACTTACCTTACCTTCAACTAATGGTCAGTGTCTACCTGGAACTTACATAAGTACAAACAGCAAAGAAAACGAACAACGCCACCCTCAGGTGTGACCAGTGTTGGGAAGAAACGGAATACATGTACTGCCGTTACGTATTTAAAATACAAAATATGACTAACTGTATTCCGTCACAGTTAACACCATTACACCTTCAAAAAGGTGGTATTCAGAATACAGCTACTTTGTTAAAATAAATGGATTACACAGCGGTCTTTTGCTGTTTCATATATTAGTCTACGCCCTCTCTATTTTTGGTAATTCCACGCCAGTGGAAGCCCAAACAAATTATGATTATGACACCTGTTTATTTTACGTGTAGTTGTTTTTTTCCCTGTGTAATAATATTCAACATTGCTATCAATACATTTTTCAAAAAATGCCTCTCAGTGCAAAATGGGTTCAAAGACATAAACAACTGTAGGATACTGTTTGTCCGTGATTTAGACAGGGGGAACAAATCGTGGCAGGATCAGCCTGATATTATTTGTATCCCACTATAACTTTACTGTATAAAGAACTAACATCTCCAAAATGTCAGCAGTAGTTTGTCATTACAACAAGTGTTTGGGAACTAAAAATCAAGAAGGTGGGATACTGTTTGTCCCTGATTTAAACAGCCCAGCGCTGCTCCAGACGAAGGGAAAACCAATTATGCAGGGGAGACCTACCCTGGCACTTGTGCAGGTGAAGCCAAAGGGAACGACATGCTTCACCATATTTTCTAGTCTTTGACTTAGAATGAAGTTGGTTTGGAAACATATTCAGCTATGCTTCATCTCCTGCTTTGCGTTTGTGTGGGCGCCCCGTGCTAGCAGTGTCCAAGCGTTGTTGTTTTTTTTTCCTTTTCATACCGTGTTCCCCCTTCAATGGCTCTGTGCCCCCCCTAGGGGGCGGACCCCACACTTTGGGAAGCTCTGCTTTACTCTCATTGAGTAACGTAACGGAATACGTTACAAAATACACTTTGGAGCATGTATTCTGTAATCTGTACTGGAATACATTTTAAAAGTAACCTTCCCAACACTGGGTGTGACGACCAAAGACAACACACAAAATCATGACCTGGGACATAACACTTAATGAACTTACACATAAGCTTCATATTATCTAAATATGTGTTGTTATTTTACTCAGAGTTTCTTCTAAAGTGTCAGCCTAACCTGAAGAAGAAGATCCAGTTTGTGTTTGGAGGAATCGCTAAAGCAGGAAACCCAACCCTTCTGAATCAGATCTACATAGAGCCCTACATCACAGAGGGAGGGACTGCAGGGGTCAGTGATGAACATGAGGTCAGACAGATTGAAACAGCATCCAGGAAACCAGACAGACCAGAAACAACAATCAGACAAGAAGATATCTTTAAAGCCTCATCTGTTAAAGATAAACCAATCAGAACAGTGCTGACAAAGGGAGTGGCTGGCATTGGGAAAACAGTCCTAACACAGAAGTTCACTCTGGACTGGGCTGAAGACAAAGCCAACCAGGACATCCAGTTCATGTTTCCATTCACTTTCAGAGAGCTGAATGTGCTGAAAGAGAAAAAGTTCAGCTTGGTAGAACTTATTCATCACTTGTTTCCTGAAACCAAACAAGCAGGAATCTGCAGCTTTGAAGACTTCCAGGTTGTGTTCATCTTTGATGGTCTGGATGAGTGTCGACTTACTCTTGACTTCCACAAAACTACAATTCTGACTGATGTTACAGAGTCCACCTCAGTGGATGTGCTGCTGATAAACCTCATCAGGGGGAAATTGCTTCCTTCTGCTCGCCTCTGGATAACCACACGACCTGCAGCAGTCAATCAGATCCCTCCTGAGTATGTTGGCATGGTGACAGAGCTCAATGGATTCACTGACCCACAAAAGGAGGAGTACTTCAAGAAGAGATTCAGTGATAAGAACCAGGTAACCAAGATCTTCTCCCACATCAAGACATCACGAAGCCTCCACATCATGTGCCACATTCCAGTCTTCTGCTGGATCACTGCTACAGTGCTTGAGGATGTACTGAAAACCAGAGAGGGGGGAGAGCTGCCCAAAACCCTGACTGAGATGTGCATCCACTTCCTGGTGGTTCAGGCCAAAGTGAAGAAAGTCAAGTATGATGGAGGAGCTGAGACAGATCCACATTGGAGTCCAGAGAGTAGGAAAATGATCGAGTCTCTGGGAAAACTGGCTTTTGATCAGCTGCAGAAAGGAAACCTGATCTTCTATGAATCAGACCTGACAGAGTGTGGCATCGATGTCAGAGCAGCCTTGGTGTACTCAGGAGTGTTCACACAGATCTTTAAAGAGGAGAGAGGGCTATACCAGGACAAGATGTTCTGCTTCATCCATTTGAGTGTTCAGGAGTTTCTAGCTGCTCTATATGTCCATCTGACCTTCATCAACTCTGGAGTCAACCTGCTAGAAAAACAGCAAACATCCTGGTGGTCTAAACTTTTGCAAAATAAACCTAAAAGGAAAAATCTCCACCAGAGTGCTGTGGATAAGGCCTTACAGAGTCCACATGCACACCTGGATTTGTTCCTTCGCTTCCTCTTGGGTCTTTCACTTCATACCAATCAGATTCTTCTACAGGATCTACTGACACAGACAGGAAATAGCTCACTGAACAGTCAGGAAACAGTCCAGTACATCAAGAAGAAGCTCAGTGAGAATCTGTCTGCAGAAAGAAGCATTAATCTGTTCCACTGTCTGAATGAAATTAATGATTGTTCTCTATGGAAGGAGATCCAAACGTCTTTGAGTTCAGGAAGTCTTTCAAAACAAAAACTGTCTCCTGCTCAGTGGTCAGCTCTGGTCTTCATCTTACTGTCATCAGAAGGTCTGGATGTTTTTGACCTAAGGAAATACTCTGCTTCAGAGGAGGCTCTTCTGAGGCTGCTGCCAGTGGTCAAAGTAACTAGGAAAGCACTGTAAGTGTTTAGAGATCCTGTTTAGTCCTGGTGATTCAAATGTGCTGGTACTGACTGAAACTTAATTTCTTCTTTCTTTTTCTTTTTCTTGTCATTTTCTATTCAGTCTGAGCTTTTGTAAGTTTACAGAGAGAAGCTGTAAAACTCTGTCCTTAGTTCTCAGCTCCCAGTCTTCTAGCTTGAGAGAGCTGGACCTGAGTAACAATGACCTGCATGACCCTGGCGTGAAGCTTCTGTCCGCAGGACTCAAGAATCCACAATGCAAACTGGAAACTCTGAGGTCAAGTAACATTAAAAAGATAACTGAAAGCTAATTTTCATAATTTAAAAAACTTCTACCTTGGTTAGGATTGTCTTTTCTAATGTCAATTGTCAAATGACGGTTTACTAAACTTCATCACTAATTTCTGGATTTATTTCCATTATTTTTATTTTGTAATTAATCTATCCATCCATTTTCTTCATTACCTGTTTAACTTAAGTGATTAAAATAAAAGATGGAGGGATTATCTTGTGAGGTACAAGTACCAAGCACTCCCACTTATTGTTTTTTTTTTTTCAATTTAATGCTTAATTCTTTATTGAGGAAGTGGTATATGTTTGGCCAAACAAATCTGCCAAGCTTAGTGTCGGGACTTAAAAAATATTTTTATATAACTGAGTCACCTTGTTTTTTTATCTTATTTTTATTTTTTATTTAAGAAGTATTCAGAAAGGACTCTGAAGTTTTTCTCTGCTTAGTATTTATTTTGATGGAATCAACCTGTTTGATCGAATGAGAAGAAAAGTGAATTAAAGTATTTTCTTTTGCTTGTGTTCGAGGAGTGAACAAGAGTCTTGTGTTGTTTTGTTTGCCTCCAGTCTTTCAGGTTGTCTTATCACAAAGGACAGCTGTTCTTCTCTGGCCTCAGCTCTGAGATCTAACCCTTCCCATCTGAGAGACCTTGACCTGAGTTATAATCATCCAGGAGACTCAGGAGTGGCTCTGCTGTCAGCTAGACTAGAGGACCAACAATCGAAACTGAAAAACCTTAGGTATGGGAGGTCTGGTACAGCCACAGACAGTGTGTGATAGTCAATCCCTTTCCTTTACTCAGCCTGTCCATCATGCTGAACAAACGTGTTACATGAACAATCACACAAGTAGCAAACGTTTTTCTTTTCATGACAGTAAAAGTACTAATTGGATATGAATGTATGTGTGTAGCATGTCTTCAAGCAACTCCAAGAACAAAAATTGGCTTACTCAGTTTGGGGTGATCCATATATGCTAAAAGAAGACTCCAGGCTGAAGAATACCTCTTTTGTATTTTCACTTCCTGCAACTTTTATTAGTGTTATTGATTAGGATATAATTATTTCAAAAGGTCATTTAATTTGTCATTATTTGTTAGATTTATTTTTATAACGTTGCCTAATGGTTTGCCAGAACCTCTTCAAGGCAGATCAAAAGTCTTTTTCCTCTGCGTCACCAAAATCGTCTTGCTACTTTGCTTCAGCTACTGCCGAATCTGCATTCCATTTGGCCTCCTTGTACCTGTTACCTGCCTCTGAAGTCCCACAGCAGAATATGGTCCATTCCCTGCCAGCTGTTCCCATCACACCCTCACTATACATTTAGGAGGGCGAGGTCTGTCCAGCATCCTCCCTTGCCACCTAATCCAACTCACTACCAAGTGGTGATCAATTGACAGCTTGGCACCTCTCTTCACCAGAATCTGATAATACTATTATTATTGTTGTTGACGGTCAGCGTTTGTTATGGATAAAGTGTAATTTGCACAGAAGTCCAATAACAGAACACCACTCGAGGTCGGATTGGATCAGGCAGGCCTTTCCCAACAGTGACTGTTGGGAAAGGCCTGTATCGGGCATCCCTGCCGACTGAGGGCTACTCCAGACTGGAGCAGAGTTTAACCCCTTCCCAGGAGATTAATTCCAGAGCCCAAGCCATGCACTGCAGTGAGCCTGACTATATCTAACTAGTATCTCTGAACCTCATGCAGCAGCTCAAGTTCCATTTAAGTCAGCCTTAGTAGCTGGGTACAAAACCACAGGGCCCCGCCACTGACTGTCACCCTACACACATTTCACCTGACCCCTCAAGTATATAGTCCAGAGTAGAAGTAATAAATGCACAAACTAGTTTTTTAGCTTCACTCTGAGTGAAGATGGTTCTAATGTTAGAGATACTGATCAAATGTAAGACTAGCACAGTCTTACATTTGCATGATCGTGGCTCAAGAGTTGGGAGTTCGCCTTGTAATCGGAAGGTTGCCGGTTCGAGCCCTGGCTCCGACGGTCTCAGTCGTTGTGTCCTTGGGCAAGACACTTCACCCATTGCCTACTGGTGGTGGTCAGAGTGCCCGGTGGCGCCAGTGTCCGGCAGCCTCACCTCTGTCAGTGCGCCCCAGGGTGGCTGTAGGCTACAATGTAGCTTGCCATCACCAGTGTGTGAATGTGTGCGTGAATGGGTGGATGACTGGATATGTAAAGCGCTTTGGGGTCCTTAGGGACTAGTAAAGCGCTATATAAATACAGGCCATTTACCATTTTAACACAGTCCTAGCATGGAACCCTGATCTCCATAATTACCTTAGTGTAATTTCCCTCTGATTGTGAAAAAGAATCCCCATTTACATGAACACAATAGAGTCTATGAGACAACCATTATTGCATTGTATGTATTACAAATACATGTAATGTTGATGTGTGAAATACACTGAGGTGGTCTGACCCCCCTCCTACCTTTAGGTTGAGGCCTGCTGGAGTCCGATGGTTGAGACCAGGTCTGAGGAAGTGTAAGCGTGTTTTTGATGTGATTCATGAATACAAAGCAGCACACATTCAACCATCTTTAAACTGTCACATCACTCATTCACATCTGTGATGTCAGTAGTCATTATCAAAGAGTCAATCAATGAACAGATGATGGATGAGTAACTGCAGCTGTATTGTGTTTGTTCTCCTTAGATATCTGTGAACCCACACCCAGCGCAAACACAATACATACAAAGATCAAGCTGTCTGACAACAACAGGAAAATGACATTGGTGAAGGAGGATCAGTCATATCCTGACCATCATGACAGATTTGAGCTTCCTCAGCTGCTCTGTAGAAATGGTCTGACTGGTCGATGTTACTGGGAGGTGGAGTGGAGAGGGAAGGTTGATTTATCAGTGAGTTACCGAGGAATAAAAAAGAAAGGAAGCAGTAATGGATGCAGGTTTGGAAGCAATGATCAGTCCTGGAGTCTGAGGTGCTCTGATGACGCCTGTTACCATGTCTGGCACAATGATGAAACAGCATTCATCTCCTCCACCTCCTCCTCGGTCTCTCACAGAGTAGGGGTGTATGTGGACTGTCCTGGTGGCACTCTGTCCTTCTACAGAGTCTCCTCCGACACTCTGATCCACCTCCACACCTTCAGCACCACATTCACTGAGCTTCTGTACCCTGGATTTGGGTTCTGGTCACCTGGTTCTTCAGTGTCTCTGTGTGCAGTTGAGTATGAGTAGCCTCATCCATTAGAAAGGCCATAGAGCAGATAATTCTGTCTGCACATGGGTCTCTTTCACTCAGAAACACGTTTTCTAATTCACAAATACATAGACTATCCACATCATTAAAGTCCCTTTATTGTATCTTCCTCTTTATTTAGAAATTAAAAATGCATTAATTAAAAATCTCTGTTAAAATATAGCTACTCTCAATGCAGTCACAGAAAGGAATTTGAAGGGCAAACTGTTTTGGTGTGCAGTCTAATAGGTTAGAGGAAAGGAGCAAGACCACAAGTTTATGCACGGAGAGAGAGGATATGCAGATGATTGGAGTGGCAGGGAAGGATGCTAGGGATAGTGTGAGATGGAGGCAGATGATCCACTGTGTCAACCATAAAGGGAGCAGCCAAGATTAGAAGAAAAGAAAAAAACAGCTTTGGTGTGCAGTCATCCTGCTAGCACCTTTGGCAGCCATACCCTGGGAGGGTTGATGGGCAGTATTAGTAGTATCCTATGGGCACCGTATTGTTAATATTTGATCTAATGATTAATATTTTTGCTACAGACAAAGAGTATTTACATTATGTACTAAATCATTCTGTCTGCCTCTGTGTCTATGAGAACAAAGTTGAGTAATTCTTCTTCCCATCTTATATCCTGATACTAATGTTGTGCCTTTATCCTTTTCAGGATGCAAGAGGTAAACTGACTTGGGATAGAAAACTTTCAGACAGGTAATCAAATAAATAAAAATTCAACTGGGTTATGCTTGTTAAACTGAAGCATAGCTTATCCATACACTTTCATTCAGACTTCATTGAACAGAGGAGCAGTTTGCTCAACACCTGTTGATCTAACTCATACTTTGTGGGTATATTGCTGGAGACCTGATAGAGGGCAGTAAAGACAGTGAAGTTATTTTGATGACCAGTTGGCACACTCTACATCAACAGTCCATTCAGGTTTTACTTTGAGTGGGCATTGTGGATTCTTGTTTGTGTGTTGTTTCTATAATTTCTGTGTATTGTACCTTGTTCTACATCGGTGGGCAAAGTGGTGATGCTCCATTGGCTGATGGAGGGAGAGGAACTGGCTGAAGGAGGGAGAGGACCCCAGGCCTTCCTGGAAGTTTTTCAGGCCACTGTAGAGGTTTGCTTCCAAACTGGAAGCTGGTTCCACAGAAGAGGGGCCTGAAAACTGAAGGCTCTCCCTCCCATTCTACTTTTAAATACTCTAGGAACAACAAGTAGGCCTGCAGAGCGGGAGCGAAGTGCTCTAATAGGGTGATATGGTACTACAAGGTCATTGAGATAAGATGGGGCCTGATTATTTAAGACCTTGTATGTGAGGAGCAGGATTTTGAATTCAATTCTGGATTTAACAGGAAGCCAATGAAGGGAAGCCAAAACAGGAGAAATATACTCTCTCTTTCTAGTCCCTGTCAGCACTCTTGCTGCAGCATTTTGGATTAGCTGAAGGCTTTTCATATAGTAAAGACTGCAGTCAGCTTGTGCCTGAGGCAACCCTTAATTCTGGGGACAGATTTAATAACCTGTTGGGGCAGTGTGTGGGGATGCGTTCACGACCTTTGGTGGTGTGTAGTGTTTGTGCTGTGCTCAGTGGTGACATGTGGTCGCCCGACACTGACTCTAGGGAGGAGGAGACAGCAGGGCATTCTCGTGAGGCCCGCTGCCACCGGTGATTCACTCCATGGAAGAGTTTCCACTAGAACACTCTCATGATGACACCCAAACAAATCCTATGACCAAGTGATAAAACCAGTTGTCATGCTACATCAATAGTCCATTCAGATTTTACCTCCTGGACCAGTTAGGCACTGCTTGCCACAAAAGTGCAATAGAAAAGGGCAACAAATCATTTGGAGTTACGCTCCACAGAAAACTCCATGTATAGGCAAATCCATAAATACTGAACCACGAATAGGCGGTGGTTGACTGCACTGGTTATTTGAGATCCTCATTGGAAGATTTAATAAAGTTAATTTAAACGAAATTGTAAACATACACGGCAGACCCAGTGGCATTTTGATGCTTTTTATTAAAGCTTTGACGGTTGCTGTCCACAATACACACAGAGCTGCAGCTCTTCCGCTGCCTGCTCAACACTATCACAACAACAACGCCAACCACAGGACCCAGTACAATATTTAATTCGGCGGGGCGTGATTGCAGATGCCGTGCAGGTGCGTCCGCCTCCTCTGCACGGCACCGCAGGCCACACCCCACCACAAAAATGTAGTCAGTTTTCACTTGAGCCTTTACCTGTTAGTGTGCTTGTGTCTGCAGTGTCCCAGAGAGGTCGAGTACAACTTCCAGAGACACACGTGAGTACTGAAACTAGTACTGAGTTCTGTCATCAATAAATCTAGTTAAAAAGTGTGTTTTTGTATTTAGTTTAAAGCTCTGGAAAACACATTCTCCTCACATGTTTAAGATCGAAAACCATGAGAATACAGTCACGTTAAGAACAGTTAAGGTTAGTCCGATAATCTGAATGTGTGTATTTCATGTGTTCTTTTTTACGATGATCGTGGCTCAAGAGTTGGGAGTTTGCCTTGTGATTGGAAGGTTGCCGGTTCGAGCCCCAACTTGGACAGTCTCGGTCGTTGTGTCTTTGGGCAAGACACTTCACCCATTGCCTACTGGTGGTGGTCAGAGGGCCCGGTGGCGCCAGTGTCCGGCAGCCTCACCTCTGTCAGTGCGCCCCAGGGTGGCTGTGGCTACAATGTAGCTTGCCATCACCAGTGTGTGAATGTGTATGGGTGGATGACTGAATGTGTAAAGCGCTTTGTGGTCCTTAGGGACTAGTAAGGCGCTATACAAATACAGGCCATTTACCATGATTTACTTGATGGTTCAGCTTTGATCTTAATGAGTGAAATGTATTTTCAAGTAGAAGGAAATGATGCATAAAAAGCTGCAAAACCTTTGTGATGTCAGCTTTTTGTCTTCTAACCTCAGTGGACTCGGGATTCGAGCTGGATCATACCACAGCAGAAACAGATCAAGAGGACGTGATGGAGGTGTGAGAACAATGACCAGGTCCTGACGTTCCTGATCATAGATTTGTAAAATACCTGCTGCAGCTTGGTGACAAAGAGGCCATCAGCAATGAAAATTCACTCACAGTAGAAGTTGGTTTTATTCCATCACTGCGCAGATGTTTGTGTTACCAAGCTGCTTTTAGCTCTGCACCTGTTCCAACTTGAATGTGTAATTCCAGTCCTGTCTCCTTGTGAACAGCATGTTAGAGTTAAGTTTGTTTCTTCACTCAACACTCAGTCAGGTTATTGGTCCTAAAAGTCCTGATCATGTTCCTTTCTGAATTCTAGTCTCCAACAAGCTTCCAACATGCAGTTCAAACTGAGTCTGCACGAATCTTCTACAGGTAATGACAAGAAATCCACACCTCCACCTTTTTACAGCCCATCAGGTAATGTTTTCTTTAAATTAGACTAACTTCAGCACCCTGATGTGCCATTATGTTCCTGTTAGACGATCATGCAAACAAAAAGTTGAGTGGACAGTTCCTGCCATAACACGATTGCATTGTATAAACGTGGTCATTTTTCTCCCCACAGAATGAACACAAACAACACCTGAGTGTGTCAGGACCTTAATCTCAGCACTGACTCTTCAGTGTTGCTGTGACGTAATGCATGTTGCTAGAGTTATTTGAATTTTCAGCTACACAGTTGCTCACAGTTTTTCTGATGTTTGGCAGCTTGTTACAAGCTCAAAGAAGTCCTGCCATTAATTAATTCTTAATTAATTATTAATTCTTAAATATGATCAAATCATCTCTAATAATTGGCTATGTACCACAGGCCTTCAAGCTGGCTGTAGTTAAACCTTTACTCAAAAAGCCATCTCTAGACCCAGCAGTCTTAGCTAATTATAGCCCAATCTCCAACCTTCCTTTCACATCAAAAATCCTTGAAAGAGTAGTTGTCAAACAGCTAACAGATCATCTGCAGAGGAATGGCTTATTTGAAGAGTTTCAGTCAGGTTTCAGAGCTCATCACAGCACAGAAACAGCTTTAGTGAAGGTTACAAATGATCTTCTTGTGGCCTCTGACAGTGGACTCATCTCTGTGCTTGTCCTGCTAGACCTTAGTGCAGCATTCGATGCTGTTGACCATAATATCCTATTAGAGCGATTAGAACATGCTCCAGGTATTACAGGTACTGTGCTGCAGTGGTTTGTATCATATCTATCTAATAGACTCCAATTTGTACATGTACATGGAGAGTCCTCTTCACACACTGAGGTTAATTATAGAGTTCCACAGGTTTCGGTGCTAGGACCAAATTCTGTTTACACTATACATGCTTCCCTTAGGCAGCATCATTAGAAGACATAGCATAAATTTTCACTGCTATGCAGGCTGTAGTTAAACCTTCATGGACAGCTCTATCTGTCCATGAAGCCAGATAACACACACCAATTAGTTAAACTGCAGGAATGTCTTAAAGACATAAAGACCTGGATGGCCGCTAACTTTCTGCTTCTTAATTCAGATAAAACTGAGGTTATTGTACTCGGCCCTGAAATTCTTAGAAATATGGTATATAACCAGATTCTTACTCTGGATGGCATTACCTTGGCCTCCAGCAACACTGTGAGGAACCTTGGAGTCATTTTTGACCAGGATATGTAAATATGTAAGACAAATTGTTTATGTTTCTGTTCTGTGTCCTGTGTACTGTTTGTTTGTATATGTGTCTTTCTGGCTGCTGTTACAACCAAATTTCCCCTTGTGGGACACTTAAAGGATTATTCTATTCTATTCTATTCTATTCTATTCTATTCTATTCTATTCTTCCATTCGATATGTCCTTCAACGCACATATTAAACAAACATGTAAGACTGCGTTCTTCCATTTGCACAACATCTCTAAAGTTAGAAATATCCTGTCTCAGGGTGACGCTGAAAAACTAGTTCATGCATTTATTACTTCCAGGCTGGACTACTGTAATCTTATTATCAGGAAGTCCTAACAACTCCCTGAAAAGCCTTCAGCTAATCTAAAATGCTGCAGCAAGAGTACTGACAAGGAGAAAGAGAGAGCATATTTCTCCTGTTTTGGCTTCCCTTCATTGGCTTCCTGTTAAATCCAGAATTGAATTCAAAATCCTGCTCCTCACATACAAGGTCTTAAATAATCAGGCCCCATCTTATCTTAATGACCTTGTAGTACCATATCACCCCATTAGAGCACTTTGCTCTCACACTGCAGGCTTATTTGTTGTTCCTAGAGTATTTAAAAATAGAATGGGAAGGAGAGCCTTCAGTTTTCAGGCCCCTCTTCTGTGGAACCAGCTTCCAGTTTGGATTTGGGAGACAGACACTATCTCTACTTATAAGATTAGGCTTAAAACTTTCCTTTTTGCTAAAGCATATAGTTAGGGCTGGACCAGGTGACCCTGAATCCTCCCTTAGTTATGCTGCAATAGACGTAAGGCTGCTGGGGGATTCCCATGATGCATTGAGTTTTTTATTTCCAGTCACCTTTCTCACTCACTATGTGTTAATAGACCTCTCTGCAGTGAATCATACCTGTTATTAATCTCTGCCTCTCTTCCACAGCATGTCTTTATCCTGTCTTCTTTCTCTCAACCCAACCGGTCGCAGCAGATGGCCGCCCCTCCTTGAGCCTGGTTCTGCTGGAGGTTTCTTCCTGTTAAAAGGGAGTTTTTCCTTGCCGCTGTCGTCAAAGTGCTTGCTCATAGGGGGTCATATGATTGTTGGGTTTTTCTCTGTATCTATGAAGCGCCTTGAGGCGACTTTTGGTGTGATTTGGCGTTATATAAATAAAATTTAATATATAAATAAATTGAATTGACAGCAGTGGTTTCCACACATTTGGAGGTCGGTTGTTTATACATTTTGAAATGAGCCTTTATAATTAAAGCCACCACCATCCATGTGCTGACTGACATCTGCATAATATGCAAATACTATTTAAAAAAACAAGTCATAAAAATCATTATTTCATCTCTCCAGTTCCCTCTCTAGTTATTATATCTATCAAACCTAAAAGACGGCACCTTGGAAGAAACGAGCTTTAGTGGTCACATACATATTCATAAAGAGTACAACATGCAGTGAAATGTGTTGTGTCCGAGCTGCAGACAGGCTGCAGATGTAGCCGTGCCATTCCAGGCCATGGTGTTTGGCGTGGGGGGCCTAGTCAGGACCCTTACTGGATACTGGGAGGGAATCAAACTTGCAACTTCCGCTCCAAAGGTGTGTGGTCTTACCACTACACTATCCAGCTGCCCTTGTAGTAAAGTGTGCAGTCAGTTTGATCAGTATTTTGGAAATGTTTTGTGATTCCGTACACCAAATACCAATATTCCTGGTTAAAGACCAGGAAGAGAGGCTGTATCCCAATTCAGGGTCTGCAGCCTTAAAGTACGTAGCCTCAACGATCCTCAAGGGCCACGTACTCAAAGACCACTAAGGCCAGAAGTGCGAGGCTTGTGAAATGGGACG